ATATATATATATATATATATATATATATATATATATATATCAAATATGTATTTAGAATCATATATGAGTAGAGTGCTCGATATACCAAAGTATAGAGCTAGTATAAAGATAAAATAAAATAAACTTGGTTTACTTCATAAGATTTTATTCACTACAAACTTGTTTCGTATGACAAGCAACGCTTGCCACACTCATCAGGTGAATTTAAATGTCGCGCGACATTTAAATTCACCTGATGAGTGTGGCAAGCGTTGCTTGTCATACGAAACAAGTTTGTAGTGAATAAAATCTTATGAAGTAAACCAAGTTTATTTTATTTTATCTTTATATATATATATATTATATATATATATATATATATATATATATAATATATATATATATATATATATAAAGGCAGCAAATCAACTAAAACCAATGCATGCAGTACTGTTTTATCGATAACAAACCACATTCCATACGTAAGAAGTGAATTGGATCCGACATAATGGATAGTGTGAACGGACCTTAAATCAAAAGATTTTAGTTACCTTGAGTGAGGAACAAAACTGCATGCCAAAACTGCAAAAATATCGTGTAACATTCCACATGTACTGTACAATATGCATGAAAACAATGCTAATTACGTTTTAGCAATAGCTATGTCCTACCTCTCTTCCAAGTACCAAAAATTCTTGAATTTTTCGAAACAATATTAAGACAGAGAAAAAATTATGCATACATATAAATATGAAATACTTTATAATTCTTGAAATAGTATTGATTAATTACCTTCATGGGATGATATAGTGCTCCAGAAAGGACAACTTCTTGTCTATCTATTTTATGACCGGTGACAGCTGCTTTCGCCTTTTGCTAGAACAAACAGAGCAAGCTAAATAAGTTGTTCTAGGTTTTGAATGGAATACCTACTCGTCCCGAATTTCTAGACTGTTTATGAAATTGAAATTATTGAAAGTCGCTATTCGCTGAAGAAGTTTTAAGATTGATAGACGTTAGCTTTAAGACTAGTAAGTTTAAACCCAAATCTAAGAATGTTTATATACCTACCAGCTGTTCTGAAAGGATGATATAATTCTTTTGTTTGAATGATGCTCAGCGAGAATTTCTGGATTCAGGTAACACGCTGTGAAATACAGGAAAAGTGCTAAATGAGATCAGGTTTTCAAATACATTATTAAACATGCACAATTACGCTTAAATTACGTTCTCAAATACATTATTAACACAATTACGCTAAAAGAGATACTCTTGATCAAGTCTTGATAGGCCTTCAGCAGGGATGACTAAATTAAGAATGAGAATTGGGGGGGGGAGGAGTATGTTTATTCATATATTTGGTTCTTCCGGAAGAATTTCTTTTGCGAATTTCTTATGCAAATTTAGTCAGGGTTTTATAAACAAATGCTGTATTAGATCATACTGTGACTATGTATATATTATTTAACGAATAAATAATGTTGAACCATTGTTGCTTCAGTTATAGATACATAGTATGGCATATCATTTGTGATAAGAACAAAATAGTTGCCACAAAATAGTAGCTGCTGGGGCAAGCCGAAAAAGTTCCCTAATTAACAGGTAAACAGTTTTTGTTTTCCCCAATACCTAGAAAATTTTTAAAGTGTTAAGATAAGCGCTAAAATGTGATTGCCTAACAAAATAAACTTGTAAGCGATCACTGATCAAATTCATTAAAACTTTCTGATTAGTCACTCTGTGCATGTGTCCTCTTATAGATCATGGCTCTCAACCAATGAAATTGCTTAAATTCGACTCAACATTCTTATATAAACAACTATTATACAGGACATGGGAGAAGCAAGGATTTGAGCAATTATATGATTCCTTAGGGCAGATACTTTACCATTAAAATTTACCATAAGACTTACTGTATTTCCTTATTAAACATATTATATTCTTATATTCTTTTTCCATTGTTTTCATCCTGTGAATTTTGCCTGAATTTTAGCAGGGCTTCAACCTCTTGTTACACTCTATAATGTGTAAGGCTGATAGAACACTTTATCTAACAATTAGAATGATCTTATTATGATGTAAGTGCTCACATTAACAACCATGAATTGAATTAAATATTAAGTGACACAAAGAATTGGATTTGAATCAGTTGAATCTATTTATAATGTATAATTACCTTAAAAGACAATTGAAATATTAAGAATTAAATCTATGGATTTAATTTAGTAAGCTCATGGTCTATTGTGCAGTACTAGTGAAACAGAACCTGGCTGGTCATTGCAAGGCATGCTTTTCAGTATGGGTGAGTTAGTGTGTATAAGCCCACTGGAAATTTTGAACAACCCAAAAAGTTTAGAGCAATCTTGGCATGATTATACTGCATGGTGTTCTTGTAATTATCATTAATCGACTTGTCAATTAGCTTGCACAATATAGGAAGGTGGTAGCAAGGGTCCTGTATTTAAGGAAAGGTTAAGTACATTTTTTCACTACAAAACTTATTATGACATTCTGGTATTTTATCAGATTTGTACCAATATTATATATTAGAGATAATTGTACAAAGGCTGGAGAGTACATGCAGTATGTCCACAGGATTAAAGGAATACCAAATGATTTTCCGTGCAGGATTGCGTGATCCATGCACGCGGGATGTTGCGAGACTTTCGGAAAGCGTGAAAATACACGAGCCGTAGGCGAGTGCATTTTCACGCTTTCCGAAAGTCGAGCAACATCCCAAGTGCATGGATCACGCAATCCTGCACGGAAAATCATTTGGTAATTGTTTTATAAAATAACTGTAGTGAAACAACGGTTAACTTTATTAAAATTAAATTTCGCGTGCAGGATTGTCTAAAACGCGTGCAGGATTGTCTGATCCTGCACGGCTATTGACCAATCACATTGCGTGTTTCACTATAGTTATTATATAAAATCATTTCTGTACAAAAGCTTGAAAGCTATAGGCACTGTAGCACAACTATACCTATGCTTTTTATATACGTACTTAATTCATAATATATACGTACTTATTCTGTTACATTTATCTTATAAAACCTCAAAATCTTTCCGGGTTGTTGATTGTAATCATTGATTCATTGTATTATCTCACATATTATGCTTATAAAAATGGATTATTTAATTACGCATACAATTTTTGTTCCACGTTTTTCTTAAAATATCTAAAGGTTGGAAACTTCATTCGATAGATAGCGCTATGACGCTATACAGCTTTCGTACAACCTGTCTCTGCAGTTTTTGGTCAAGTATAAAGGCAAAGTAAAAAAAAACGAAAAGTTATAAATACTTCAATTTACCTACAAACATCTTCAACTTCTTGTAAGGTGTCCTGGGTTATATTCTCCAAAGGTTTTGATCGATCTCTAATATTTTCTTCAAGACTAATATCCTCAACATCAAGTGTTGAGGTCATTTCCTTTTTGAAATCCTTTACATTTACCAGCGAAGAGAACTTAAAAAACGCCATGTTGAATTTAAGACGATGAGGTACTTCATGTATGCCTCTTACGAGTTACGAAGTCCTAAAATGACAACCAGACAAAGACATGGACCATGAAGACTTCAGATTTCTGAGAAACGCCTTGGGCTTGGTGTTTGACAATTTACTCTCAAAATACGTCTTGCTATAACAGTAACAACAGATATGATGCAATTCGCGATGTAATTGATCAAATTTGATTTTAATGAAAAAGAGCTATTTTCTGGTGCTCCGAAACACACATGGCCAAGGAAAACAAATCGCAGATACTATCCGAGTTCCAAGGACTTACGAAATCATATTTCAAAAGCTATTGCCGCTGGAAAATACTGCAACGATGACCAAGAGTCTCTTCTTCGAAAGATAACTGATTTAAAAAAGTCTTCGCCAAGTACAAGATTCTTCCTGCGAACCCAAGAGGGCGAACCGAACTATTTTGGTGCCAGCGTGCCCACTAACGACAGCGATAATTTTCTTTTTGTTCATCAAGAAGAGTGGCAACGAAAACTTCTTCTGAAATATGGAAGCGATCTTGTCCTACTTGACGCGACGTACAAAACCACGAAATATGCCATGCCGTTGTTCTTCTTGTGCGTAAACACCAACGTTGGCTACAAAGTAGTTGCTGAGTTTATGTGTCAACACGAGGACGAAATTTCCATATCCGAAGCCTTGGGGATCTTGCGAGGATGGAACCGGGACTGGAGTCCAAAATACTTTATGGTGGATTTTTCAGCCGCTGAAATTGGGGCGATCGAAACGTGCTTTCCTGGTGTTATTGCATATATCAGCCGTCAGCAGGCAATCCAGCGTTGGGTCAGATTGTGGAAAAACGGGCTTGATCAGAGTGAGCAAGAGTTTCTCCAGAAATCAATGACAACAATTGGCAGAGTTGCAACAGAGGCGCAGTATAACGACGAGTTATCCAAGCTTCGTCAATCAATGCTCTATAAAACAAAGGGAAATGTGAGAAGTTATGTGGAAAAAACGTGGATCGCTTGTCATTTTCGCTGGTGTCACGCCTTTCGAAAATCACAAGCATTAAACATCGTCAATACCAATAACGGAGTCGAGTCTATGAACAGGCTATTCAAGTACGACTACCTACCCAGATCCATTGACAAATCACTCTACGGCATCGTCGTCATGATTGTATGTTCTTTCCTGCCAGATTCATATCAAACCTACCTAAGTGCTAACTTACGTTTGAGCGGTTCATACCGAAAGTACAACGCCTGACTACCTGCAAAACCGTCCACGGTCCACCAAACTTCGTTAAACGTTGTCTTAAAAATAAATTCGCTGCCCAGGAGATCCAGGAAAAGGACATTACTTGTTTAAACGATCAACAAGGGAAGTTTCTGGTCAAAAGTTCAAACAAGAAACTGAGCTACCTGGTTAAATTCTCATTTCCGAGCTGCACATGCGAATCTTGGAGGCAATCCACTTTTCCATGCAAGCATTTCTTTGCGATCTTTAATTTCTTTTCCAAGTGGCAATTTTGAGCTTGCCTTTGGCCTATCGAGAAAGCGTCTTTATTACACTAGATACTGACGGTTTGCTAATCAATCCACCAACTTCCATAAAGAAAACAGTAGATCCACCTGAAACTCCGGACGTAACTCCAGAGGGATCACCACCGGACTTGCAAGCACTTGGAAGCAATCAGTCTTTGTCTGCAAACAATTTCACCTCACCAGTAGAACCCGGCACTCTTGCGACACTCAAGAGACAGTTTCAAGATAAGCTCTTTGGACTGAAGAATATCTCGTTTTTGGTAGAAGATGCGAAGATGCTTCGAGACGCGATAAACATTGCTGACAATCTACAAGTGGCACTTCGCTCAACTTGTCCAAAGGTAGATGGACTTTTTCTTAGAAGTAGCCCTGAAAAGAAGAAATTGAAAATTACATCAACAGATTACCATAAAGTATTTCATAAGAAGTTGTCTCTTAGGAAAAAACGGAAGAAGATCGTTTCACCAACAAATATCAACACAAATGAAGATAAGGTGAAAATTTTTTTTAAAAAATTAAATGACTCTTCCCCACCTACAATACAGAAAACAACCATTTATATCGCTGTTACAACAAATTTGATTGATCTTCTTTTACAGGAATTACTTGTACAAGAGCACCCATTCATTGATCTTACTCTGGACCCACCCAATGAAGAGTTATCCGATCCTGACACAAAACCATTACTCGAAAACAGGTGCATATACTATCATTTTTAAGTCTCTGTAATGCTTGTATCTATATCGTTATACTCAGTTATTGCTCAGATTACAGAATACCTGAACCCAAAATTGAGAATAAGATTCTTTAACAATTAATTTAATCTTTAACGTTTAGCCCTGCGTTATCTCAGATATAGAATGAGAAAAGCACATAAAGAGATTTAGCCAATACAGAGTTTATGGAATGAGCATATTAAATACAGTTTCTTTTCAGCTGTGATTTGCCAATGGAAATTGAAGACATGGTCAAGTCATTAAATGACAGCTCATCCACAACAAAATACCTCTCGCCATACGAAAGAATTATTTACGCATGCAAGAATGGGTCTCAGAACACAGTACTGGAATTTGGACCCGTGAAACTAAACATATCAGACATGTGCACATTACTCCCCCTGGCTATAGCATCATGTTGAAGGAAATAAAGTCAGTTGTACACAAAAATTGCTCCTGGTTGGCTTAAGATAAGGTAGTTACTTTTTTAAAGTTATATTAAATTTCCAAATAGCAAGTTCACAGAGTGATTTATAAAAAATTGCATGCATGTTCGACAAGATTAAGTTATATGATATCCATAGGTAATCTATGTACACTTGTACAGTACCAATGGTAATTAAATCGCATTGTATATAGGTGATAGAAGCATTTTTGTGGAAATTACGCATATCCATGCAATCCAGAAACGTTCTATGCAGATACCACCCTTTGTGAACTTATTCAAAGGCAGTCGAGCACCCGCAGACTATGGTTTGGAGAAAGTTTTAGTGGCATAGAGAAAATGTTTATCCCCATGAACATCACTTCAAACCACTGGACACTGTTGGTATTATGAAACATTCATTTACTATATTTTGATCATCTTTATGCAGCTAGTTAATATTGTATGGATAATGTTGTTATGATTTACAGGTGATCGATTGCAAAAAGTCACTTCGATTATATCTTGATCCTTTACATCATCATCAGCAGCAGCAATCAATAACATTTACAAACAATTCAGCGTTAAAGCAACTCATTGACAACATAAGGTATGAAAAATTTGTGTTGTGCACTGGTCCACATCCCAAAGATGATTAGACTACACTCATATATAATACTGTTTGGAGCAGCAAAGACTTGTAGTTTTTTTCTTTCATCGTGCAATGCAAAGGACAAACCTGGACATATTTATTTCCTAATTTTTTAAGCACTGTGGTGGATATCAAAACTGGTTGGAAGAGCAAGGATTGGGAGTGTATAGAGCCTAGACACTTTGTGCAGCAGGATAACCATAACTGTGGTGTTCTGGTTTGTTTGGTTAGTATCCATCATCATGTAGGTAATTTTAGGACATATTACCAGATAATGTTGTTAACACAAATGCTTAAATTTAACTGTATATAAAGTTCACTTGCCTGTCAAAATATTTTTTTATTTTCAGTTTGCACGCTGTATAACCAGGGAAGAACCGCTTGACCAATCTTTTAACATCAATAGTGAAAGAGAGAAACTTGCATATTCACTTTTTGGAAGCTGTTATGATGACTTTGCTGAGTAAGATTCTGTCATTACATTACATGCATGTACACTTGCATATGATATTATTAAATTAACTTATGGACTACTGTAGATATTTGTGCATGTTTCTGAGTAAAATTGTCTGGGATTTAATTAATAATACAAAGAAACCACATCTTCATGCATTAATCGCCAGTGTAATGGTTAACAAACACTACGTCACAGAATAGGTATTAACGAGGTTGATGTAGGAATTAACATGGTTTATCCCTCTTCGGTGACTATGTGGCAGATACTGTAGTTTTGTTATTATAAAAACCCCATTAACTGTTGCATACTCTTCCACCAGTTGAGGAGGAAATTGTTTGATGATACATTTGGGCATATTGCTTGTGGAAATATAATATTTTTTTTAAACAGAAGAAACAATTCACTTTGCAAAGTTTGTAAAGAAGATGATGGGGATGACTGGATTGGTTGTGATGCTTGTGGCCAATTTTTTCATGCCAGCTGTGTCATGTTGGATTATGGTCAAGCATTACAAGAAATGTTTTACTGTAATTAGATAATGCTGGGGCCCAAAAAACCCTGTGGTTCCGGTTTCATATTGTGAACTCTATGAACAACCTGCAATACACTGTATGAGCAACCTGCAACCACCCAAATAAAATAGGCCATAGGGTTGCACCATCAATGATGTCAAAAAATGTGGGTTGATTGGCAGAAAAAAAATAGGATTGGTTGGGAAGTCGGAACCACAAGTACTTTTTCTTAACCCTGGTCTATTCCAATCAGTCACAACAATAAACATGCAAACCATGCATAAGATAGTTTGGGCTATACAGGGATGTGTCACTTATGGGGCATCTGTCACATCATGCACCTGACAGTATATATCATGTTGTGAATAACATTTTGCCGGTGCTACTGGATGCAAAATATTATTTGGTTGGTAACGTAGGGGATAGTCAGAGTTATATATAGAAGTGGGTATATAGAGGAATTTTCTGACATAATTTTTATAGTAGTTGAAAATATTGCACCTCAACATTTTGTAATAGTTTGTAAAATCTTAAGTTTGTAAAAAATAATCTCACCCAGTGAAATGAATACAAAGATCCAAAGATGCATATTAATCCAAATGTGTATCAGCAAAATAGTTGAGGATGTGAATAGACACTGTAAATACTTAAAATAACACGCATACAAAGTATTTAAAGTTCTGTGCCGCCGATCTGTTTTGCAATATCAATACGAACATGCTACGATTATTTACGAAGAAATAACGAGTTTGTGTGAACAACCGCATACTAAATGTATTGATGTCATCCACAAAGAACGCCCGTGAGGCGTACACGGCTAAAAACTCATCAGGTTGTTGCATCAACATCGAACAATGTTGTGCTGCCCATTTGTTCAGAGTTGTTATCAACTTGGAACAATATTGTTACACCCGATTCAGTTCCAACAATATTGTTCCAAGTTGATAACAACTCTGAACAATGTGGGCAGCACAACATTGTTCGATGCTGTTCATATCAATGTTGCATCAACCTGATCGTTTTTAGGCGTGTAGTCAGCCCCGAACTGGCCCCGAGTTTCAGCCATCTTGAATTTCAGTAACGGATACTTCATGTAAGGTAAGTATACAGATCATGGGTTGGATGGGAAATCTTTTTGGTGCATGCAGAATCTGAAGTTTATTGCGTTATGGTGAAACACTTTTAATACGTTTTTAGCTTGTATTTAACAACAACCATAGTTTACAAAATATCTTATTTATTAATTCTGGGAGATATGTCCTATCCTAGCCTTGAACAACGTGGAAAACATAATTGGAGGTTGGAATAGAAATATGCAAAATATATTGCCTTTCATGAGAGTGCAAAACTATGCAAATCTGCCAAACTGGGTCGGATCGGGTCTAAAGCTTTTAAGCCTTCTTTTAGTGCTTCTCATGCGCCGAACGCATTTAAAACAATAGATAATTAATGAGAATACCTCATTATCTATTGTTGTTAATTCGCTCGGCACATGAGAAGCATGACGTTTGAAAACAAGCCTTACTGTTAAGTGTCATCAATGTATAAAGTGCATTGTCCGTTGGAATGTTTTTCGGATAATAAAAGGACAGAAACTTCGAGGAGGAACTCAGACTTGTGATAATCTCGACGAAAAAAGGATCACTCGAAGAAATTTAGGGCGGAAAAGTTGGAGGAATATCGCTCAGGTACATGCTCATGGTTGGTTAAAATAATCTGTTGGCTTGATCTTTCCATGGCTTCGCAAATCATCGCTATGTTGATTTCAATAGCCAGAAGACAATTAGCGACCGGACGAATACTTCTCACTGATTTTTACTGCTATATCTCGTATTGAATATATCAAATGTGAAATTCAAGTGAGCTGTTAACTTGATTTTGTTTTTCCTTGCATTTCAGAAGGAACTACGGCGCCGAAAGATGGGAAAGACGAAACACAAGCGCTTGCT